GTTTGCAAGTCAAGAGTTGTTTTCTTTATTGCTCCCTATTTCAAGAGGATTATGTGTTTTCTAGAAGGGAGTTGATAGAATGTTGGATTGATGAAAGACTAATTGATGGGTTGCCAAGTAGAGAAGCAGCTTATAATAGGGGCCATGCTATTATAGATAGGCTTGAAAAGAATTTCTTATTAGAGAAAGAAAATTTTTTCTCAAGTGGATTTGCAGGATTTATATATCCTAGTGCTGGTGCTAAGATGCACGATATAGTGAGAGATATGGCTATCATAAGCATTGGTCCTGAATTTGGATATATGATAAAAGTTGGTATGAATTTGGTAGAGCTACCAGATGAGCATGGTTGGGTAAAAGATCCTGAGAAGTTGTTTCTAATGGGAAATAACATTTTAAAAGTTCCCGTTAGTTTGCCCCCAAAGTGTTTGAACCTTTCAACTTTGATATTATCAAGTAATCCTAATTTATTAGAGATTCCAGAATCTTTTTTTGGAGAGATGCTTGCTTTGAAGGTTCTTGATCTCTCTAACACTGCTATTGAGACTCTACCTAATTCCATCTCTAAATTGGAGAATCTATCTGCTCTACGGTTACAGCATTGCATGAAGTTAAAGTATTTGCCTCCCTTGGCAAACCTCAGGGGATTGAAGAAGTTGGACCTACACAAGGCAGGGATTGAGGTGGTCCCTCAAGGCATGGGGATGTTGATAAGTCTTGAATATCTTGATTTGTTATTTTGTCAAAATTTGAAAGAGATTCCAATAGGAATATTACCTAACCTTTCTAGTCTCCAGTACTTGGGAGTATATTGTTTGCAAGAAACTACAATAATAAGAAATTTAGAAGAGGTTGCTAGATTGAAGAAGTTGGAGACTTTGGAATGTCAATTTGATGGCATACAAGACTTTAATCATTTTGTCAACAAGTTCAAAGATTTCCAAAGTGCTATTGCTTACAGTCTTGGAGTTGGGACAGCAAGAGACATGGTGAGACAAAGCAAATATGAGCTTGTAATTACTGAATGCGAGATCGGGGAAGAATGTGTAGTGCTTCCAAATAACCTTGAGCATTTATGGATAATTAGGGGTAAAAACATGAGAAGCATCTTTAAAAAAACAGCTCTATTAGAAAATGCAAATGAGTTGAGGCGGTGCCGTATTTGGGAAAGTGAAGAGATAGAGTGCATGGTTGAGTTGGACTCATCGTTTTTCTCCACATTGTGTTGTCCAATACTTGATAAGCTTGAATTGCTGCACTTTTATATGTTGCCTAAGTTATGTGAAGTTGTGAGAGTGGAAGGAGCAGCAACACCACCATACGTCTTTTCCAATCTTAAAACACTTATAATAGTATATTGTTCAGGAATGAAAAAATTGCTTCCACTTGAGCTACAGCAAGCCTTCCAAAACTTAGAGGAGATTAGTGTTATTGATTGTGAACAAATGGAGGAGATAATAGCATCATCAGATTCAAATGCATCATCAGATAAATTCACTTTTCCCAAGTTAAGGAGATTGATCTTGTTGAATTTACCCCAATTGAAGAGCATCTACAGTGCCAAAGGAGTTATGATCTGTGATTCAATTGAAGAAATTGAAATACGGAGATGTCGGGAGTTAAAGAGGATCCCTGTGCAGCTTCCCTTGCTTGATAATGGCCAACCATCTCCTCCTCCTCATCTCAGAAAAATCTCCATGGATAGAGACTCAAAAGAATGGTGGGAATCAGTGGAGTGGGATCATCCTAATGCTAAGAACCTCCTTAAACCTTTCTTGAAATATTCTCGCTATTGATGGGAGGATTGAGGGTAAGGTGTTGACTGATTTACTACTATTTAATTCTAATTTGAATTTGATTTGATAATATATTACAATAACTTGTTGAAAATTTGGGAAATAATTTGTGCAATATGAAATGCAAAGCTGCAAACTGCAAATGCAAAGAGAGTTGTTGAGTAGACAAATTGTAACTTTCCAGAAATTAAAGTCATGTGCCACCTTAATAACACGTGCCAATAAAAGCAATTTCACGGTTCGTTCATTCCCTCCCCAACAAAAACAATTGGGGTATTCTAGAAGAGAAAGAGATCAATGCGTTTGAGATGGAAACCCTAAATGGGTATATTCTGGAAGACGAAGATATGTAGCCTTTGCTTCCTCACAAACTCCGACCAGTAAGTGTTTAGATTTCACTATCTCTATTTTGATTTGATTGTTACTTTATTTAGTTTTTGCGTTTAGATTCATATCCCACTTTTCTCATTTAACAAGGTAAAAAATTGTGGATGATAAGATCATTTAATATATGTAGTTGGAAGAACATTAATATTATTTTTTTTTATATTTTTATTTAACTTTATCTTGAAAATCTCTTTTTTTTTTTTCTATCATTTGCAATCTTGTGTTATTTTGGTTGTTGAAAGAAACAATTTCTGTAGTTCCAGAGAAATCATCGACTTTCCGAATAAATCAGAAGCCACGCTTACTCAATAACAGAAAGATTGGCTGGAAAATTATGTGCTAAACTGAAGAATTAGACCTCAAAGAAAGTGTCAGAGATCCAAACACTAGGTATTTTGACTTGACTATTCCACATCACTCTCTTCATTTTCTTTTGCTTCTTAATTTTTATGTATTCATGAGGGTTTTATTGAATTTTTTTGTTTTATATTTTGTTTTTTTTTTATATATAATTTGGTTATGGGGTAAGCCTGGCTGAAAATGAGCCCCCTTTAATTGTCGGGTAAATAGCTCCAATAAGGCCTCAAGGAGAGGAAGTTTTTAGGTTTCTGGGTATGCTTTTTGGGTTCTTAATCTAAAAGCTTTGTATGAGCAAAAGTTTTTGATAAAAATTGGTACCACTTTTAGGTTTCCTACAAAAGTTTTTGGTGTCATGATCATGAATTGTGCAAAGAGGTGAATTTTTCCTTTCCAAGAGTGCAGTTAAAGTTCACATATGCAAGTCAAAGCATGGAGACACATACTCATGATTGTTATCTGTTTAGGTTACTTGAAGAGTTTGTTTGAAAAATATGGTCTTGCTGGTTGATTAGTAGTCCTCCAAGTTACCATATAAAGCTTCTTAGTGGAGACTTAAACTCACAAGTTAGATTTTCCTTAAAAATAGCATCTCATTATGAACAATTTTCTTCTGCTTAGTTATTACTTTTACTTTGTATGGTGGATTAGCCATAATCTAAACTTTTGAACCCCTTCCCTAACTCCAAATCCAAATGTGTTTCAGCAGTACAATGCATCAATTGAGTACTACTGGGGCCTCCCTTCATGAGTCTGATTCATACCATGCAACATATCATATTGTCTTGAGATGACTGGTGAACCTTGTTGCCACAGCCAAACATGGCAAGAGCTAGGAAGGAGTTGATGTGTTAGTGTTTGAGAGCTATGTCTGATGGATGCACAAGCATAACAAGCCTTAATCAATGCTGTGTAAGTTTCCAATTTTCAATCTAATGCTTTCTATTCCATCCAAATTCTTCTAGATTTTCTAAACCTTGCTGCCATAGCTAAACATGGCAGGAGGAAGGAAGGAGTTTGATGTGTTGGTGTGTGAAGCTATGTCTGGTGGATGCACAAGTGTAACAAGCTTCAGATCAATGTTATATAAGTTTTTGGTTTTTGATCTAAGGCTTTCTATTCCATCCAAATTTTTCTGGTTTTTGTGCTCCTAGAGCAAAATTTCTATTTGAAGATAACATTTTAGAATCCAACATGTTAATCTAAGTTCTAATTTCTTCCTAAGTTTCTTTTGCATTTTTGTTTTGTGTTTTTCTATCAGTTATGGAATTCCTAGGATTCTTCAAGAATCTAATGTGACAACTACTTGTGAATTGAGAAACCCTAGCAAATGGGTTAGAATCGAACATCAATCCTCTATGTCCCCAACACACCTTTGGTATGTTTCACTTGTTGTTTTCTATTAAGAAATATCCCAAATTCTCAAATTATGAAGACTATGATAATATAGGGAGCTATCAAATTGTTATAAATCCTCTTGATGAAGTAGAAGAAGGGCATGTTTGGTACAATGGTTAAAATTCAACGGATAATGGATAACAAGTAGTGGATAGCGGATAGCGGTAACGGATAGCGGGTGACAGTTAACGGATAGTGAATGACGGATAGCAAAAATTCGGTAGCAGATGGTAAATAACGGATTCGATAAATATAACTGTTTGGATAGACAATAATTAGCAGTTGTTGTTTAACATTAAATGACTAATAAGGACATGTTTAAAAACAAATAAGTGTCTTTTTTAAAATATTTTTATTTTTTATTATTAAAATTATCAATTTTATAAAAATAATAATAATAAATAAATAAAATTAATTATAATAATGTAATTACACCCTCATTTTTATTTTTAAAAAAGAAAAAA